ACACAGTGAAATTAGACCTTACCTTATTTCAAGTTAAAACATTTTCATTTGCATTAGGTATCTCCTAATTTAAAAAATGTGCAATTTGAAGGAATACCCCACTGCACTTTACAGTTCTAGATTTATTTCCATTGCTTACCTACCTGTTAGCAGCTTGAAAATGACATTTCTTTCACTGCCCACTCCTGTTCCTGTGTGCTTAAACTATACTTGGCATACTTCAATGGCTTTTTTTTCTCCTCTCTCTCCATTTCCTTATCCATAGTTCTAACAATGCTTTTCTGTTTGCTTCCTTGGGCATAGATCAGTTCATCACTAAAGTCCTTCCAGGTCCAAGTGACCTCTAAGAGTGCTAGAGGATTCAGAGTGAGAAGGAGGAAGAGTAGAGGACAAACATTTTAGTGCATTTCCAAAGAGCAACTTGACTAGACGAACACACAATAGTGAACTTTATATGCAACACGTGGGTGTTTCAGAATCCCCTTCTATTGCCCAATTAGTTAGAAGTAAGTAGAGAAAAATAAGCTGAATACTAGAGGAAGCTTTATTTACAACTGATTTATTTTTTTAGTGAAGAAAAAAAGGCATATAGTGTTCTTGGTAATTTCTCTCCCCTGCTTACCTCAGTGTCAGGTTGAAAAAACTATTTTACTTGCTGTCTCATAGGTGAGAAAACTTGGTCGCATCATCTCCCCCTCTGTAACTTCAGTGCATCTTAATTGTGGCAGAATATTGGCATAATTTCCTAGAAAACACTAACACTTTCCCTTTAAGAACTTCTGAAGAATTCAAGTACCAGTACCATTGTTCTCTGTATCTTCAGCTTACTAACACCAAGCAAACCTAAGCAAAGACAGTGAAACACTCCTTACTGCTGGTTGTCAGATACTCAGCTACCTGGAAATGTATCCAGACTGCACTTCATAGGACAGTGCAAGTAAAAGTGATTTGTAATTACTCTTGCTTATTAACGACAATGTAATTACAGAGTGGCAAAATAATCAGTCTTTCTAGGACCCACCACTTCTTCTCTATACCAGTCAGAGCATGATAATTACATGGCAATCTGCTCAATGCAATTATTCAGCAATATACACATAGAGCCAGCTATTACCATACTTGAAGCCATTTCAAGTCTATACAATACAGCACTTAACGTTAGTGAAGTACTTTTAAACACTAAGTAATCTTTATAACAATCCTCTAAAGAAAGAAAAAGCCTCCCATTAGAAGAGTGGGAAGAGTAAACGGGAGGTGAAAAGGGACTGGCCAGCACCAGATTTCTTTAGATGCCACTATAATACATGGACTGATGTGGAGCTCAGTACTGCACAAAAAGTATCTGAAAAATTACATAAATTGGAGCCCACAAAGGTTGGGCTTCACCCCAGGGGACTCCCCAGTCTAACCCACTCACCCATCAGACTCAAACACCACTCAGTTCCACACGGCTGACTTTGTGCTTTATTCTGTTCAATGCCTTGGTTGCAAATAAAGCCACAGGTTGGATTAAAGTCATTAAGCTAACCTAAGGTGACAGAACACCATTACAGCCTATTCCAGATGCTGCTGCAATTAACAGCTGAAAACTAGACCCACAAACTCAACATACCTTGACTCCTGAGACCTGTCTGCACACCATTTACCTTACTTTTAACTCCTACATCCTCACGTGGCAGTGAAGACAAGAGTCCACTTCAGTAAGTTGTTCTATTGACTGAATAGAGATAGTGAAGTTTCTGGTCATGCAAAGTTAAATTAACATTAATTTCATTTTAGAAAAGCAAATCTGAAAATGGAACAGCTTTGTTCACTCTGCTGTTCACACTGCCTGCAGAACAGCATGGCCACCAAGCTGTAGGTGACACAATTTCAGGAGTCTGTAGAGAGACTCTTCTGAGGAGCAGCAAGTCACATGAGATCTGAATGTTTAAAGTATTAAGAGCATTTTGCTACTCTTCCATGAAGAGTTCTCCCCCAAACTCCCCAGTTCCTGCCCATGCTAAACAGCCCCCAGTGTTAGCAACTCTCCAGCTCCCATTCCACGACAGATTCTATCTCAGGTCTTAACTATTAGGCAGGTCCCAAATCACCTCCTGCAACCCTAATCTTTAGCAATCAGAAAATATAGCCAGGAAAGACCCCAAGAGGCCATCCAGGCCCTGCCCTTACCCCTAGGAAGGATCATATGTCATTCCTGACAGATATTTGTTTAATCTATTCTTAAAAGCCTCCAGTGATGGAGATTCCACAACTTCCCGAGGTGATGTATTCCTGGTGCTCAGCTATCTCTGCTGCTGGAACTTTTTCTTAATGTTTAACAGAGACATTTTTCTCTAATTTAAACACATTATTTCTTGTCCAGTTCCATACAGATATGGAGAACAGATTATTGCACCCTCCTCCCTTAAAACAACCTTCTGCATAACTCAAGACTTGAGTCTCAAGTCCTCTCCAGATCAATTCCTGTTAACTGCAACCTTATTTCTCTGCAAGTTCTAACTTCACCCTCATGAAAGCCAAACTGACATCAAGCATCTATGTATAATTCCTAACACCCTTTTTAACCAAGCTGTGCTGCAAAGCAAAGCCAAATTTTGTTTTCTTCTCCTCACGCTTTTTCTTCTACTTCTGACTTTACTTACACTTCCCATCTCAAGTGCACTTAGCCTGTCCACTCAGAAACCCCCAAGGGAGAATTCTCTGCTGCTGTCACTGTGACTGATGCATAGAACAACACCACCACAACAAGCATGTTCTGGGCAGCATTTTTAGATTAAACCTCTAGTATCATCCACACTAATTATTGCATTTTCCTCCAGGGCAACTCTTTACTCTGAGTGTTCAAGTCTGGTGTTTGGTATCTCCAGGCTCCAAAGGTTTCACTTACTGCTAGATTTGGTATCTGAAACCTCAGGTAGACCCTCACATCCCAGGTCCAGCTGCAGTGCTCTGCTGTCTTTGAGAATATAATGTGATTTCTATCAAGTCATGCCTGAATACATGCACAAGTGTTTCACTTTCCAGATTAATTTTAGTGTGTAGTTCAGTTGCTGCTTTGATTTTTTTGAATGTTAGAAGTAGCAGCTCTTATTACTTTTAATGTCAAGGTGCATTAGACTTTAACCGTAGTATCTCTTCAAAGATTATGTACGTTATGGTATTATTTTCAAACTCAGTTACAACCATAAAATCTCGTGTCAGACTGCCCTCTCCTGGTAAGCCAACACACTTCTAGCATAACAAAACAACTCACTGTTTCCAAATCTTAACATTTTCCTTGTGACACAAAAGCAAACACCCAAATAAAACATTAATGAAACTGCTTTGATAACTTCAGCAATGTTTCTAAAGCAGCACAAGATGAACAGCATTTAAGTAGTGAAGTTTCCTTCAAGTTGCCTTAGAAATTCTTGTCTTGGGAAAAACTTGATGGTGGCTGTAGAAAACAGTAAAACATACATAAAAATGAAACTGGTCTGTTTGCTTTTCAGCTTTATGAAAGCAGCCAAGTACATAAAGTATTTTATTCCACATCAGTAATGTTAAAAACAAGGTCACAGAAGAGATCATGTTCAACAGAAAGCTATTTCCTTGAAGCTGGCACAGGCACTTCACTAGGGCTGAAACAGAACAGGATGAAAAATGAAAGCAACAGCAAATGTTGAAGTAGACCACCTACAGTCATCACTTTTTATTACATTGTTCAGACTAGAAAAATGAAAACAGCAAGATGACAGGGCAAGTCCTGAACATTATGCACTGTATTTAGTGCACATACACCCACGACTGGAAATGCCCAGAAATGAAGAACAGCTTTGTTGTATGATGAATGTTTTGCTTTCATTAGCCAATTTAATTTTTTAGAATCAATATTGTATACAATAAATATTTAGAAGCTTTTTTTTTTTAATGACCACACCAGAGAAACAGAATTAATTAACTTTCTAACACAAAATTTAGTCTTACTTATAGGAACTCTACCCCCCCTTGTACGCAGAAGGTACAACAGCTTCCCCACCTTTTACTCCTCCCTTTCAAGCCAGAAGTTGTTTCCTTTCTTTTTTTTTTTTTTTAGCATATTTTTGAAATCTGGAAGAAAATTCATGCAGATTTCAAAAACTATTTATAAGGAATGATCAACATGGGAAGCATCAACACTGAGCAATTCTAGCTGAGAAGATGGTTTAACTACTACAGACAAACACTTTTTGTCTACTTCAAGCAAACTTAGAGAATACAACAAATCTTAAGTGTGAATCTTGTTCTTTCAAAAGGAAAGAGCTCTATCAGCAAAACATAGATTATATATCACCTCTCCCAGTCATCTAGAAAGTAACTTGTCACCATGGGCCAGATTTATGAAATTTATTCCTGTTTACTTAGAGCATCTAAAAGCCACGTGTTGCTGACATGTGTCCATGTAGTGAGTTGGTATCTTGACTGGACATTATTTACATGTTGTATGTAGTCTCACTGCTGCACCTTGCAACAAAACTCAGCAGCCCCTAGAGCAACCCTTCCAGCTGACAACATCTCTACCTTCTTGAAATGAATGAACCTGGTGCTGCAGAGAAAGCTAGACATTTGAGGAGTTTTTTATGGTATTAGCAGCATTTAATTGGTGTTGCTCTATAGACAGCACTAAAGTATGAACACATGTAAGCAAGGATGTAACTACAAGAAAGAGATGATGTCAAATTATGGGAAAAAAACCCTTGATCCTCTTGATTACCTTGCCAGGACTATCTACCAGTCCAATGCTCTGAGCCCAGCTAGGTCTTCCATGCTGTTCTGATCTTCAAACATTTTAGGCATCAAGACAAGGAAAATCAGTTCTAAGTTATCCATAACATTAGTAATACGGAAGGGAGGAAATAATAAGGAAATGTAAGTGGGAGAGGGAAGAAAACCACACTTAAGAGAGAACATGAGAACCTAATACTGACCTTCACTTCAGAAAATCAGAGGTAGCTAAAACCTCACTAAATGAGATATTTTCAAAGAGATTTTTCTACCTCTTCATAATGGTTTTGGTTACTTCTGAGGCTCCTTTTACAGAATTTGGCATGCTCTTTTTCCGGGTTTGAAACCAAGTTCTTGTTTCTTGAAGTGTGGACACACACAAGCTTTTCCTCCTCCATCTTTTGCACGGACCATCAGCCAGCTGAGCAGAGTCAGTGTTTTCCTTCCCTGGTGCTGAACACTGGGTGAGGTTTTGTTCCCTGTAGTGAATATTCTCTGTCAGGATGGATGTGCTTCTTGTTCTCCTGCCTTTGCCAGCAGAAGCTGGCAGGGGAGGGTTCCCTTGCATCTCACTGGGTACTTGAATCCATGCAAGTCCTTCCATTTCTGCACCTTTATGTAATCTCATGCTGCGCCTCACTCTGTGTTCACTACCATTCTCACTCTTTTTTCTACAAGGCTCTGAGGAGTCCTTTTTGGGCTGAGGACAGGATAAGATTTCCTCCACATTGTAAGAATAAACTGCAAGATCGTTTCCAGTTATTTCCAATTTTTCAACAGGAGGAAAATAGATGGAACTACTTCTTCTTTTTCTTCTTCTTCTTGGTGGACTACCTCTGATAAAATCCTTCTGTGGAGACTGAGTTCTTTGGGCACCCTCATGTACATCAGTGTCCTGCTGTTCTAGCAATTTGAGCCCAGTTAGCTGCCCTACCTTATTTAGGGGACTTCCCTGTGATTTCTCATTGTCTATTAAGGAACCACCTTCATTTGCTTCTTTTGCACATGCAGTCTCTTTGCCTTCTTGTAAATAGTCAGATGTAGCAAAACCACAATTTGCATCTGGCACAATGTTTGAAAGCTGAAAAATAAATACATCTTTAAATCTAGGCAAAAGGTAATCCACCAAAAAACCTAGTTTCAAACAGCTGACAACTAAACAACAGCTACTGTTTTCCTCCCCTAGTCTAGTCATTCTCAGAACACACCAACCAACCAACCCACAGAATCTTGCATGTTGGAATCTGCTCCAATGAAGGGCCAAACATATTGCTGGAAGTCTTGTTTAGTTGAGTCCTGAATACATCCTTCCAAGGATGGAGATTCTGTGGCCTCTCCAATGAAATTCCATGGCCCATTCCAGTGTTTAAAGACTCTTAGAGCTAGGTTGTTTGGTTATTTTTCCTTCCCCCAATACATTCCTTTTTTGATCCAACATCAAGCATGATGATTCTATGATAATGCTGACTTATTTTCTGGCAGTATCCTTACCTCTTGATCAATGCCAGAAACAGACTTCTGATCCCCAGGAGATACCTGGAATTCTGTGTCACTGGAACTGCTGGCTTCTGCCATGTCCAGGTCCACAGAGCTTGGACACACAGGAACTGCACAGCTGGTTTTCTCTCTCATTCTTTCAACCACTGGATACTGTTGAACATCCTTGTGAGTGTTCCAAGATCTGGTATTATCTAAAAACACATCCTCTGAATCACAAAAAGCACGTGGTTACTTGACTCTACTTGTCAAATGTAAAAAAATCTCTTTTTATAATACTACAACCTGCTAAACAACCACTCCAGATAAGTAATATAAAAAAACTCAGAAAGCTACTGCCCCTCACTTAACTACTCATGCCCACCTTACCTATTTAAAAAGGCTATGAAAACAGCAGCACCCAGTCACATTACAGAGAGGTGGGGTTTTTTTGGTCAACTTTACACTGGACTGCAAAAAGAGTTCAATTTATCCAGCTGAGGATTATTAGTCTGTAAAATCCTCTGGAATCTACTATTACAGAAACAATTAAAAGTAAAAAATGTATACTGGGCTTTTTTACCTGCACACAGAAGTCAGGATAATTATTAATAAGTTTTTATGTAACTGTTAAGAAAAAATGAAGCAACTGAAAGAGCACAACAAACTAAAAACCACATTACCTGAAAAAAGTGAAATTGTGTCGGGTGAGTTTGGAGATGAGTTTGGAGATGGGACAAAAGAGAAGAACTCTGGAACTTCAGGGATAGGGCTGAGAAGAGGTTTCTTAGAAGCCATCTCTCTTTCCCCATATAAAGCTTTTTTTACTTTTTTCTTTCTTCTTTTCCCAAACTTAGTTTGTCTTGCTTTCTGAAAAGATTGAGAAGACTGAATAGAGCACAGTGTAATTATAATGATCCCCTGCAATATTTTCCAGTAATTGACACCATTACTTGATTTTGATGGATCACATTTATTTCCCCTAAAATGAAAGTTTCACCCATTCTACCACCTACAAATTAATCTAAAAAAGCAAAGGAAAATTGCTTCTTCAATGTGAGATGTTTGTTGTTTAATTCAACCAAATCTAGAAGTCAAAGAAATTAAGTCTTTCAGCTCAAAATCACAGATTCTTCATTCATGCTTAGTCTGAAAAGGAAGAGGTGCATTCCCTCCTACCACATGAAAGCAAAAATCTTTTCTAAGTCTCACAACTTGACAGTGCTTACCCAGCATATAAGTAAGTGTGCAAGTTCAGAGAACTACTACTGCACACACTTGGCAAAAGAACTAAAACCTTGCTTTCTGTCCCTGAAGTCTGAAAAGTGATCTCCCCTCCTTCACCTCCATAGAGTATCCTTTCTACAAGTATTTAAACCCTGCTAGTCAGCCTCAACAAGCCTCAACTTTCTTATTAGAATGAGGTGTGGCAACAAATGTAGGAAAACAAGCTAGGCTTGAGTAAGAGAACATTGGCAGCAACAGGAAGCAACACCCTTCTTTACTACCAAGATCAGAATAATCATGTAATACACACAAGAGAAGAGACACTTGGATAGAGAAATAAAGGTAATATTCACCAGCTGCATTGGACTGTCACCTACTTGTGTTTTTTTGGCAGCAGATGTGGTCACATTCTTCTGTTGTTGAAACTTGCTCTTTCTGGGATTTTTAGTGTCTTTAGCATTAGGATCTGTGGCTTGTGAGATGGTAAAATCAGTCTCCTCTAAAATGGTGCTACTCTGCTGAGAAACATGAATGGGAAACTGTTGGAGTGCACATGTGTGTGCACATGCATACATCTGCTTTTATTAAAAACACATCTCAGCCCAACAGTCAGAAGAATCACACAGTAATTAGTCTCTGACTGCATGTATGAGGTCATCAGGACAGCTAGACACTCACAGCTGGCAATTCAGATTCACAGAGCTCATCTCCTCACACAGTACAAAATAATTCTGTTTACAAAAAAAAAGGGACATTCTAGTGAGAAAATAGTAATTTTTCATCTTCAGTTTCCTTCTGAGATTATGGGTTAATTCTTTTTTAATGCTTTTTTTTGCCCTGCCTCTCCAAGAAACCACTAGAACTGCAATACACTGAAGTCTGAAAGCACTTGGTACAGAAATTACTGTACAATAAATGCCTTAACATTCCAGCAACCAGAAGAGATACAGGTCTGATGTTCTGCCTGCCTCAGGGCTAGCAGGCAAAAAGGTCAACCACACTGATGATCTCCAGCACTGAACTTGGGATCACAACCAGATTTTCAGTAATGCCAGAAGCCATCAGAGGTTGCAGAATAAACTTGACTTCATCAGCCCCTATCTCATGTTCCTTTGTCTGGAAAAAAATAAACCAAGCAGAAAAATGAGACAGAAAACTTTGTTTCCATTCTCTTCCATTTTCTGTGATCATAAGATTTTTAGATTCCCATGAGTGAAGCCCCTGCTCCCATGAATTAAAGTCTATGAATAAATCCCCTCTAAATTTTGTCAGTCTGGGAAAATTCCTGGAAAATTCAATAGAAATAGTGAATTTCAGTATCAGACTATGGCAAAAAAAATGTTTTTAATAACTAAAAACAACTTTCACTCAAGAAATGAGATTTCCTTAAGACAATTACTTGCACTTACATGAGATACTTCCACATACCTGGATATATACAATCCCAATACCTGAAGCTATAAAACCTCTTGTAAGCATCAGGAGGTATAAAAGGGAAGAATTCTGTCCAGAGAAATGGAAAAAACAAACCAGACATCATCACTGAAGAAACTTACCTTTCTTCTAGTAGAACGAGTTCTAATCACATCACATTTGTCAGTTTCTGCTGATATATAAAGAAGATAAGATTATTGATTCAGTGTCAGCACAAAAAGTTAATCACATTTTGAGGAAATTATGCACCTAATTTCTAACATTATGCACAGCATGTTTAGCCATTTTAGTCTTGAGGAACTAATAACTTAGTCTTAAGGACTAATCAAACAGGCAAGATAAAACAAATCCAACACCTTAACAGCTTGCTTTAGAAAACAGGAAGATAAAACTTGTGAGGATTTGGTAATAAAATGATTTGCACTTACACAGCTTTGGTAGAGATACATACATTCATATGCACAACCCCCTTAAATATTTTGTTATTGTCTTGCTTGCTATTTTAAATGCATCAAAATTACAGAATCAGAATCAAGACAGTAATCCAAATGACTTAAAGCAGTAAGTCTAATTAGGTCAGCCAATTTCACAGAAAAATACAAGATCAGATAATAACCAGTTAAACTAAACAACAGGTAAGCACTGCAGCTACTGCAAAGACTTTAAGAAAAAAGCAAGAGCATTTGAAGTTCCGCACAACTGAAACATATAAAACCAAATATATTTGTATAAAAACAAATAAAGAAACAAACCCTGTGTCATCTCTGTTTTCAGGTACAGAAAGATGCATTACCTAATTACAAAAGCACAGGTTGGGCTTACCTTCTGCATTTGCAGCAGGTATGAGGTCTTCTGCAGCGACAGGATCCTCCACTAACTCTTGAGGAGGCTCAACACATTCCTTTAAAAAGAGAAAGTTCTTTTTTTGGGTCATATACTATACCAGATATACACTGAAAAACACCTGGTCTGTTCGTTTTTGGAAGACCAGGTGATGTTATTTTTTTTCTTTAGGAATGTGGCAGCTCATTTGCCATATATGGCAAAAAGAATATATGAGTAAACCAAGGCACAAATATTTTGTGTACCACCAGTACTCAACTTTAAACATAGCTCTCCAGGCCAAAATGCTACTTTAGATTTTATAAAGCAAAAGTTCTCAGTCTCATTCTAAAGCTTCAAACTGTATTTTAATATTTTAGAATTTCTTTTCAAAGCCAAGCACAATGGAGTGAGAAATAATTAAAGGCTCTTTTTACAGTTAAGAACAAACAAAACAAAACAAAAAAACCAACACACTAATAAAAACTTACATCACTGCAATCAAAGTCTGGCTGGGGTAATGGTTGTTCAGGGAGAGCTGCCCTTGCAGAAGGGCTGTTGCTCTGCAGCCCTGCCTGCCGGGCTGGAGTCGCTCCTCTGCGCAAGGGAGTGTTTGCAGGCAAAGTTTCATCAAATATTTCTGGGCTCAGAACTTCTCCAAAAGTAACTCTTTTCTTTGGCTTTTCAGAGCTGTATCTTTCAGTATTTTCTGTTGTAACAAAATACATAAGACTGCTAAGTGAATTTAAAACTTTTATGAAGACAGGCTGGAAGAGTTGGGGTGTTCAGCCTGGAGAAGAGAAGGCTCCAGGGAGAGCTTAGAGCAGCTTCCAGTGCCTGAAGGGGCTCCAGGAAAGCTGGGGAGGGACTTGGGACAAGGGCAGGGAGGGATGGGATGAGGAGGAATGGATTGAAACTGGAAGAGGGAGATTCAGGTTAGATCTCAGGAAGAAATTTTTCACAATGGTGAATAGTGAGACCCTGGCCCAGGTTGCCCAGGGAAGCTGTGGCTGCCCCATCCCTGGGGGTGTTGAAGGGCAGGTTGGATGGGGCTTGGAGCAGCCTGGGCTGGTGGGAGGTGTCCCTGCCCAGGCGGGGGGGGGGATCTAGATGATCCCTCAGGTCCCTTCCAACCCAAACCAGCCTATGATTTCTATTACCCTATGATTTCTAAATCAGAATTTTAAATTTAAACAGAACTTTAAAAAAGTAGAACTAAAAGACCCCAGACTTTCAGGGTCTTTTTATGGATCTTAATATTCTCTTAGAAAACACGTTCCCCAACCAAACAGCAAAATACCAACTTTACCCTGACCTGTCCTGTGGATTCAACCAGAATTTTCACTATTACAGTATGAAGAACTAAGGAAGAAAATAAAAGACTAGAAATGACTAGGTGTTCCACAACTTCCAGCTGACAAGTGTAGTTTCTTGAAAAGAAGCCATTCTATTCTAGTATTAGAGGCTTTGTGAAGCTTTAGTGTGGGATTGTTATTTCTTTTTAAATATACATTATTTTCCTTGGCGACTTTATTTTCCACTTCACACAGTAGGATGCCCCACAAAGTACTTGAGGGGGTAATGCACATCCTTCTGCAAATTTACCAGAGGAAAACCCTTATGATCCCACACAATTCTTGCCTATTTAAAACCAAAAGGGGAATCTGACCTGTTTGCAGAGCTTCAGAGATGGTAGCACAACTGGAGACTGTGAGAGATTCACCTCCTCCATCAACTGCACCGTTTGAATATTTCTGTCAAATGGAAGTGATATAATAATCTATTCTATACCATTTAGTTAAAATATTGTCGTTGTTCAAATCAAAACTGAAAGTAACTTTTTTCTGTAAGCAACACTTACAGTCTTATTGTTTAAAAACCTACTGGTTTTCTAAATGAAAAAAACTGAACAACATACACACGGATCTTCTCATTACATGAAAGCTTGAAACAAAGCTTCCAAGATGACCAAACAGCAAACAGATATCCACTGCTAGCATTACACTATTTCTGATGCATGTCAATTCATCAAAAACTATATTTAACCATGATTAACCTGGTCTAGTGGGAGGTGTCCCTGCTCATGCCAAGGGGGTTGAATCTAGATGATCTGCAAGGTACCATCCAACCCAAAGCATTCTATGAGTCAAGTTCTGGTAGCTCAATACTGACTGCAGAATTTCAGGCTTAGTATCAGTACCCCTATATAAATCAGTGAACCAACCTTTTCCATTAGCTGCTTCACTGGAGTTTTCTTTAACACCGACCGCAGATGGAGGCCCCTGGGTGTGTGTTCGTTTAATGAAGTGTTTCCTGCCTGCAGTGGGGTGGTGGGAGCTGTAGTGTGTGAGGTGACAGGGGGCTCCCTTTCATCAGGTATTACCAGGCTCAGCTCTTCCACAAAAATAATTTGGTCTCTGCTTGGATCTGATACATCAGAACCTAAAGATACAACAGATACAACAACTAAAGACTGAAGTACAACTGAGAAGACTTTAGAATTAATGACATTAACTAGAAATCCTGATTCTGTGCATCATCACTAAGCATCTTGAAAAAATCCATTTGTCTCTCAATTTCTGTTACACCACAGTTAAGTGCTTCCTAAAATTGCCACACTTTGAAGCTATAGAACAAAAATCTGCAGGTAACGACCAGGAGAGAGAAGTTACAACAGCTAAAACCAGCTGACACAGAAACCATTCTCAGTTTCATTGAAAGAG